CCCCAAAACCCCAAAACCCCAAAACCCCAAAACCCCTCTCAGAAACAATAGGATTGATCCAATAATTATTACTTCTCAAACATAAAAATAGAGTTTAGCTGCTGCAAATCTTGGAAAGCGAGGAGGCAGATTGTTACAAGAGTGTCAATGTCATCTGTCAGCATTCCTTTAGCTTCTAAAGAATCTCAATAAAGAGTTTGAGAATCTTTCCTTGGCCTGGCATCGTAAAACTTCTCTGTGAATGGTTCTACTTCATGAATAGTTTCTATATTTTTGTAAACTTGAATAATGTCATAAAGGTCATATCAAGGTTTGTCACAAGAGCTGCATCGATTTCTCTTGCAAACTACTTGGTTGGTTTTAGATTCAAGGGAGTGAAATTTGTTGAGCATATTCTGATTCTTGGTAATTAGTCTACATCCTTTACACCAATTGTAAGAATATTTTGCTCAAAGAACAATAAGAAGTAGAAGAGGCTGAACATTCTCGAATAAAAACTGGTTTTGATAGTTTTTAATGAGGTTTTTCGCTTCTTCATTATTTTAAAAAGCAATATCAACTTGGATTTGGGCATTTTAGAGTGAGACGAAGATAGCAAGACTGACTCTCGAGGTTTTTCATCGCACAGTATAAATGAACTTCTGTTAATCATCATTTGAGTGTATAAGTTGGATCAGCATCTACTCTATTACAAAGAAGTCAATAATTTTGAGTAACCTTAATTGGATTTCAGAAATTCATGATAATGTTATCTTTTGAATAATTCTCTAAACAAAAAGAATGGAAAACATCTTCACCTTTTGCACATTTATATTTCTGCTTTTGAGGATCATTCATTTCATTCTTTAAGTTTGTAGAGATGGGTGGTAGGATCTCTGGATTATTTTAAAGAATAAAGGTTTGGAAGTTTTAGATCTACTTTTGTCTTTACTTCTTTCTGCATCGGTTTAAGCTCAGGATTATTCTGAATCTCAACTTTTGTATGATTAACAGTAATGTTGACCTCTTCCTTACTTAGTTTTTCCTCAAAATTTAAATCCATCTCCTTAGATTCTGACTTAAATTTTTCTTCAGTGATATCTTTTTGTTCTTCTTTGATAAGATCCTGACTAAAATATTCTTTAATTACTTTATGGCTTCTTTCCAAAAGATCTTCCTTCTGTCTTTGATTCATATTTGAAAATGAGTTCTTTCTTAGTCACACTAAAAATTGTTGGAGCAGGAACTCAGAGAGGTCAATTTTACTTATTTTCAAGTCATCCACCTACAGATTTTCTAACAGTCTTTCTTGTTCTGAAAATCATAATCATGCTTGCAATAAGATCTTCTTCATTAAAGCCCAAAGACCCTTCAAGAATATCTGCAATGATGTCCAAATTGTGAGATCTTAAATATTTTGGCAGTCCCAGCAAATGGCTAAACTTCTGTGTTTGATAAATAGCTTCATCCTTAGCATCTCGGTAGGAGTATAAATTGGCTGTCAATAGCATTCCAACTTTGCTATTTACCTTCTCCTTGTCATGGATTTCTTTCAGATCATAAACTTCTTGGGATCAGTTGTTCTCCATTTAGTTCAACTTAAAAATTTATCTATATTCAAAATTAATTTCTCATCAAGGGGTTTTGGGGTTTTGGGGTTTTGGGG